AAAACCCCATGGTCCAGCATCCAAAACACAACATATGCAGGTCTTTTCAGCCTGGTATTCTCTAATAACAGGCTTAGACTCATTATTCTGAGGAAATCATTAAAGAATCAGGCCTTGTATGCCCATGTTTTAAATAGTTTCTATACCCATCTACACTGACATACATGTAATACGGCGAGTTTGTTGCTTGTTCTTGCGCAATGTGTCTCCCCCTCAGTATTTCCCCACAGCACAGTGAGATTTGAGTATGTGATTATTACATACCCCCTTATTACCCAATACAGCCAGTATGTTTTTTAAATGAGCATTTCTATTCTATGCATGGGGTAAAGGTCCAGTGTTGTTTTTCTTTGTAAAGTTAGCACTCATATGCATGTGTGAGGCTCTCACTCAGCCTGAGAAGTTGTTTTTTAATATGATCAAACAATGTACAAACCTGATCATAAGGGAAGTGAAACTCTGGGCTGTTTGGCACAACTTTCCCCCAACATTTTTTCAGTTAAACCCACAACAGCTTATTTCTCTTGACACATGCTGCTACAAAAAAGCTCACAATCTATCCATAGCCTGAGTTCACCAGGGTTAGGACACTGCTGACCCTGAATATGAGGCATCACACTCTTTATTTCAATACGAGGTGTGTTTTCTTCAGATTATAACAGAGACTGGACGTTGTTTTGTTTATAAAAGGTCCAGCGAATGGAACATCAACTATCTCAGTGTTTTAGTTGTTTAACATGGGAGTGGTTGAACAGAAAAACAAGTTTCAACTTGACATTATTGTCTACAAACCTCCATATGTTTAAAGCAGACACTTTTAACCAAAGCAACTCTGTACAATTAAAGTCTCTCTTGCTGTTAAAACAGAACGCTGACATCTTTTTTATCTTAACAACTTCTGGAAGAGCACCATGCCTTTAATCCATTGAAGTAACAACATCTCGTGTACATAATCACAGAGCTCTCTATGATGGAGGAGAGGGCAGAGGTCAAGACCAAGACAAACTCACCTGGCTTTTCTCTCGTTCACTCTCCCTCTTCTGTTTGAACTCTCTGTCCTCCCTGCGCGCTCAGATCAGGTGTTTGAAATCCAGCATGTGAGTGATGAAATAATCTCCTCAGACAGGTGAAATCAAAGAAAACTCCTCTACAAACTCTTTTGTGCTGTAACAAGCCCTCTGTAACAAGATAATTTGACTTGTACTTCCTTGAGGAACTAAATGTATAAGACACACCCATGAGTGTGCCTCTCTCTCTCTCTCTCTCTCTCTCTCTCTCTCTCTCTCTCTCTCTCTCTCTCTCTCTCCACCCTGTCAGTGCTAGCTGCTGACATGGTGTGTCTGCTTGCCCTGACAAGTGCAACCCTTGTAAAGAATTCAGCAGTAATCCTGGATGCGGCCCAGTGAAAGGAGAGGTTTTAGTCTCTTTGTGATCAGTAGAACTGGTATGCAGCCACAGTCATCACAAACACTGCTATGTTTCTCAATAAAATGTCCATTAACATTATTATTGGATTCAAATTGTGATATTTAATTTATTATGTTCTATATTAAGTTGTATTTTCTAGTCTGGAATGTCGCTAGCAAACAATGAGAGTGATGCAAACAAGGAAAACATGACATTATTTTGCACTGAAAAACACTCTCACTTTGCATGACCAGGACAGTTATTTGTTTATACACTAAAAAAACAACAACAGAAATATCATTGATTTTATGCTAATTTGATAATGCTCGGTTCATAGATTTTTTCTTTTTACGTTTATGTGCCAGCAAGGTTCAGCTTTGTTTCTTTATATTATGAAGGTAATAACTTTTTTCAGTGCCATCATAATTTTTTTGCTACTTTAAAAAAACCTTTATGTATACTTTTAATTCTTTGACATTAAAACTTAATCAGAATATTATCACTTTGATAATAACAAAAGGGAAACGTTTCCTTCCCCACACTGGCTTTGCATGTTTAAGCATTAAATAATGTTTTTGCTCCTAATAAAATTTTTTTTTTGTATATTTAAAAATCAAAGAATTCTCCTGTGACGCATATAATCACATAATATTAGTAGGCAAAAAAAAAAAAAAAAAAAATTATAATAATAATAATTATATATATATATATCCACAAGGTTAAAAATGCTCGACGCAGGATACATCCTTATACACAAAAATCCCTTTATAACTGAACATATTATGTTCTAAAGCAGCTGATTATTTTATATATTCCATTTCATTTTAGAGGCCTAACAACCAATTAGTACACACACAGAGACTGGTGAGAGAGCTGGGTGATAACATTACTTTATTTGCCCCTTCCTTGAACAAACTTAATTGTTTATTCACAAACATTAGAAATTGCTGTACAATTAATTGGTCCAGTGTCATAGAAAGACACCCTCAGGGCTAATGTCTGTGCATTGGTAATGTCCATTCTAAAAATGGCTGCTTATCTGCCTGCTATCTGAATGGAAACCATCTGGACTTAAGCCCTAATGCATATAATAATGGACTAAAAAAGGAATCGATGCATCTGGCTCGACTCTTAAAATAAAAGTGTTGTTTACAATCTGTTGTATAGGTTAGGTCTATCAGCTGAATTCTCAAGTTACAACAGCTTTCTCTTTCAGTTGTGAGATTGAGGCTGAAAACATGACGTGTGTTTTTCTGCAAAGCTAAGAGCGTTCGGGCAAGTAAGAATTAAGCTCGTCTCCAAGGCAACAGACAGGAAGTGTCGCTTAAGTGGTTTCCTGATGGCTTCCTCTTTATCGCTGAATGATATCTGACATGTTGTGTGTGTGCGAATGTGTAATGTGTTTCAGAGATAAAGCAATGAGTATCTAGTACAGTTTGATGAATTTAACTTACTTTGTGATATTTGTGATTATGTAAATGTCATGACTGCCTTAATCTGATAAAAAAAAACAAAAAAACAGTTTGATCAGGATCAACACATTTTCAGATTTCTGTTACATTTTCTTGTATAATTTGTGTTCTTCCTTTTTTGAGTCTAAGCAGACTTACTTGACAGTAACAATGAACTTATGGCATTGGAAATACGTCACGTTCTATGATGCTAGTGTTTGTTTCCTGGTTTATCTGGTATCTCATTTTGTTTACGTGTGTCGTGTGTGTGTGTGTGTGTGTGTGTGTGTGTGTGTGTGTGTGTGTGTGTGTGTGTGTGTAGGCCTGTCTGAACGTAGGTGTATGTCTTCAGGTAAATGTGTTCACTTGCTTTATTTAGGTCACTTGAGATTTTCTGATATGTTTGCTTTCTAAGCAAAGTATGTGTTTCATGGCAATTTTACAGTGCTCATCAAACAATTCAAACATAATCTGTAAACAATTACATTTAACATTTTAGATATACAACAAACTCACTGTTGTTACAGTAACCGAATGAATACAGGGATTCGGCACATCTACTCAGGGGCGGATCTACCGGGGTGGCATAGGGTGGCAAATGCCACCCTAAAAGAAAGCCTTGCCACCCCTGCTGCCACCCCAGTTGGCGGCAACGAATTAAAAGTTATGGCCAATTTGACAATTTACGAACGCGAATCTCCAATGTCCGACTGCAGTGAATTCGCTCCGTGCATAATATGACGACCGTTGACGTTCGTACTTTATTGTGTGGGCAAATACTTCCGGTGATCTGACCGCGAGAGCGGGAGACAGCGAGAGCAAGAGACAACAGCGACCGAGTTCCATTACCAGAGAGATAAGTTTTCAACCCGACCAAATTTTTAAATGCATATATCATTTTCAGTGTATTTCACCTGTGCGTTTCTATGCTTTATATTACTGCATTTATTTTGTGCAAGTGAGATGAGTAAAGAACATCTGTTTCATATATCATTATCTGTCTGGTGTTTATAAGCAGTAGCCTACAGTATTTTACTACGTGTAAAATATACACAAACTTAGCTATATTAAGTTGTTTGTGTACAGTTAAAAATATAAATGTAAAATATGGGATAATAATATTGATCGAGCAATTGATGTAAGTAAGTAAAAATACATGCGCAGAATTAAGAAAATATTATTTAATATTTATGGAGATAAATTTTAGCCTATGATAAAGCAAACGTGTGAATGTTCACAGGGTATTTTATTTAATATTATAACTATTATTATATAGTAGTGTAATGTAGACAGACACTATATCACAACTAAAAAGAGTTTTGAGTTTTTTTTTTGTTCAATTTGCACACTGAATATGGGTTGGAGCTCTTTATTTTGAACTCTCAAAGTGCACCAGGTTGATGAATTTAACATTAAAAAGCACAAAATTTTCTTACGGGGGAGCATGCCCCCGAACCCCCCTAGAGGGACAGAGGTGCACTCTGCACTCACCACAGATTTCCATGGGAAAAACCGGTATGCAGCTTATAGCTTGTTTTAGGATTCATCACTGTGGAGTATAGTTCAACTGAGTATAGTTCAACTTTTAGTACCCCCCCCCCCCCCCCCCCCACACACACACAAAACAGATACAAATAATGCCCTTTTGTAGTGTGTTACACATACGATTTCTCATCAAACTGTGTTAACTGTGATTAAATTCAGTATATATACGTCTGCCATGTTGCCACCCCTCAAAAATTCCTGCCCCCCTCTTGCCACCCCATAAATATTTTCCTAGATCCGCCCCTGCATCTACTGTATCATAGTGAACCTCTCTAAAGTTTAACATAGCCTACATATTGTAACTGTACATGCAAATGTTCATATATACTCAATAGATTGATATTAATATATCATATCTGTTACTTTAAATAAAACATTCAAATTCAGTTATTCAAACATTTTAAAGAGGAAGTAGCAGACGAACGGCACTTTGGGCATCCTCGCTTATTTTCGATTTACTGTCAAATTGTGATCCAAATACATCATGGAATTTAGTTACCAGTATTTTTTTGACACTAAGAAGTATCTTATCTTGACATTAAGAAGACATCTAAGAAGAAGTCTGCATGAAAAATAAGGTTTATGTACCACAGTCAGCATTATTCACCAGATTTATTCCCAAAATTTACTTTTAAAATTCAAGCTGGAAAGATTTACTGATATAATAAGTACTATTTGATAAATCTCCCCCTGGATATTTACAGCAAATTGCAGGCTGTGCTTCGCATGGGGAGGTTCACTGGTAATCGCGAGTACTGGCTTCTGAAACTGTGCTTTTTGTTGTTAAGCTCTGTAGCTGCATTCTCCTGGCCGCCAGCAGGCGAGTGCTTTCCAGCGCATTTTCTACCTTCCCTTCTTTGTTATTTGTCTTTTTAACCTTTTCTTTGTCCTGCTGGGACTCATTGGTGAATGTGTTTGGGTCTGGAGCGCCCTCTAGTGCTGGTAGGGCGTCAGGGGGCAGGTCAGTGGGAGTGGGCTTGCCCTCAGCCTGCTCCTCATTGGGGGTGTTCAGGTTTGATGGGGAATGTTTGCTGTTGGTGCAAGTGGACCTGAACGAAATTACATTTAAGATGGAAGACAGAAACACAACTGTTAAGCATTCTGTCAGGATATTTTTCTGGAAGATGGAAAAACATGATCAACTGAAAGGTATAAGGTTATGGCCTATGGCAGGTAAGTCATCATCATGTTTAAGGCATCAAAATGATTCATTATAAACAGCAGAGAATATGAAGTGAAAGATATTCGCTTAACAGCAAAACCAGCTACCTGCATTATGTTTTGTGTTTGCTGGTATGCTAGTGTCCCTTCTAGCAGGGACGTGCACAGGGGGGTTGCTCAGGTTGCCCGGGCAACTGCCCATATGCCCTTCTCGACTCAGGTTGCCCTTCCGAAAAAAAAAAAGAAAAAAAATTTTTTTAGGCCTAGATAAAAGAATTTCACGTAGGCCTAGATAAAAAAAAATAATAAAAAAAAAATCGCAAAGCCTCATTCACTTCCATTCGGGCACTCAGCTCAACTGTTTACGTGGCTGCAGCTCTGCACGCGACCATAGACTGCACGCGACCGGTGCGTAAGACCCCGCCTCCATCTCGTGTCATAGCGCGTCAATTAATGTGTACAACATACATGACAAAATAAAGCGAAACTATCCTTCTGGTCACGAAAAGAGGAAGAATAAAAAAACCATGAGAGTGAATTGCGGGAACAACAATCAGGTAAACTTGTGTTCTCTCCTCTCTAAGTTTGATGTCAGCAAAGTTTGATGTTTTTCGGTCTTGCTAACCTAGCTGGGCAGGCAGTGCATCTCTTGTATCACTTTGTGCCTGACAAAAGTGAGAGTAAAATACAATTATTTATTACGTTTGTTTTTGATAAACGACAAAGTGCAACGGTGTTTGTTTACTGCAGCTCAGAAAACATAACCGCGTCGCGTGTGTTATCCATGGTGTTATCATGCGTTCATATGCGCGTGCACGAAGTGAAACGTGCATTTTTCAAGCAGAATATGTGGAGACCAGACATACTGTACAATACATGCACGTGAATGATGGCACTCCCAATCAAAGTACACTACACGTTTAAAACAAGACACTGATTATCTAGTCTCAGTGTTAAAAACTCTAAACAACTGCACTAATTATGCAAGATAGAAAGCAATGTATTGACAATTTGACATTGATTGACTATTGATTTATAGGCTATATTGAATTTAAAATGTTGATTAGCTGGACATACTGGTCAATATGGATGCACATCCCTCAGTAAATAATAACCATAAATCAAGAATTGCTTCAACATGCATAATAATAAATAAAACAATCATACTGATGCCGAAAATACCCAGGCTGTAGAGAGAACCAAAGTTAATCCCAAAAGCCAAAGCTCAGGGTTATAATTTATTATTTTCTTCTTATTTATGTTTACGTTAATGTTCACTTGTTATCTTAACATTCTATAGAAAATACTCTATTCAATAAATATTGTTTGTTTGAACCTCATTCTGTTCTATATTGTTGTACTTATTCTTTGACTGTTTTGTTTAAAGGAGGGAGGATTGTATGGGAGCACTGAAGTGTCAGGTGTGACTGTGTGGCAATGGCAAATGGTTTACATAGCTCACGACATCACGGGACAGGTACAGGACCCCTTAGGGCCCCAGGGGGAGGTCAGGATCGGCACTGGGTTTAGCAGTCGATTCTGTTCCCTACCGGAATTCCTGTTCCCTTTACGCAATCATACTACAAATCATGCGTAGTTGCCCGTAGCCTACCATCACAACTGAATACGAGCAAGAAGCACAACTGAATGTACGGGAAGCCAAAAGGTTAAAAAAGGATTGTATTTTTTCCCAAAATCTAAGCGTTGTTTTTTTTTATTACAAGCGAGTTTTTCCATTCAATCCAGATTATTTCTTTTTGAGAGCTCAGAGCTTTTCAGTTCAGAGCAACTGCCCCTCAAAATTCCTGTGAACGTCCCTGCCTTCTAGTCCCTTTTTGACTAGCAAAACATCCTTGGTCAGCCATGATACTTTTCAACCAGTTTCACCAGCTAAGTTGTGTAAACCTACTAGAATTCTGGTCTTTTTTCAGCAGTGTAGATCACATAGTTGTTGTGCTTTGACTTGTGTTTTTCCAAACTCACCCATTTGAGCTTCTGTCCTCTGAGTCCTTCTGCTCATTGCTGTATCTGAGCTTAAATGACAGATCTTGCTTTCCCTTCAGCCAATATGTCTTCATATAACCTTTACCCTGAATCAAGAGGGATTACAGTTGATTTCACACCACTTTATTTGCTTGCGGTATGAGTAATATAACGTCATACTAAAAAAAAACATTATTTATATGAAAAGTTTTACACAAAGTAGTGAATGGTACTTTTAGACATAATGCTTAACCCCTCCACCGCTCTAAGGGGGATTTAAACTGAGATTCCAAGCATGGGAGCCTCTAGTGCACATCTTGAGGCCAGGGAATTGAGGTTTACTTGTTTACACAGCTCTTAACTGGTCTCCTACTACTCTTTCCGCTCCGAGTGGGATTCGAACCGGCATCTCCAGCATGGGAGGCGGGCGTTCTAACAAGGATGCTAAAGAACACAGCCTCTAGTGTCATGGGGGTTTTCCTGCACAGCTCTCACTAGCTGGTCTCAGTTACACTCACCCCCCTAAACCCCATTCCCGGGTCACGGCAGCAATGAAACCCTTCCAATTCTACTCATAATACGTCAAGCAGGATTCGAACCAGCGTCTCCAGCATGGTAGGGGGGTATGCTAACAAGGACGCTAAAGACCGCAGCCTCTAGTGTCCATCGCTAGTGCGCCGAGGCCAGGGAAGTGAGGTTTACTCGCACAGCTCTTTACTAGCTAGCCTCCGTTACACTTACAGTCATGTACACTTACATGATATGAAGCCATTTAAATAGGATAATAAATGTTTTACTACACATGGACCGGGTTGAGCATTTATATTGCTCAATGCAACTGTTTTTGGGCAAGACTTTGGTCCATGGAAGTCTTGGATTAAACTGTGGCTCTGAAAGAAATTTTTAGGCCTGGACTATGTTATGCTACGTTATGATTGTGAACACTAATATATACACTACCATTGGAAATTTAGGGTCAGTAAGATTTTTGTTTAAAAGTATTGAATTCTTTTATTCAGAAAGGAATGCTTTAAACTGATCAAAAGTGACAGCAAAAATTGTATTAAAAATGTATTTTCTTTTGAACGTTCTTTTAATCAAAGAATGTTGGAAAAATATTATCACAATTTCTAAAAAAAATATTAAGCAGCGCAACTGTTGAATGTTTTCAACATTCATAATAATAATAAGTAATGTTACTTGAGCACCAAATCAGCATGAAGGATCATGTGACACTGAAGACTGAAAGCTGAAAATTTAGCTTTGTCATCAAAGGAATAAGTTACATTTTAAAATATATTCAATTAGAAAACATTTATTTTAAATTATTATAATATTTCACAATAATTCTATTTTACTGTATTTTTGCTCAAATAAATGCAGTCTTGGTGACCATAAAAGACTTCTTAAAAAAAAGAAAGAAAAAAAGTTTCATTGGTGTACATAGTTTTGGAAGTTTTAATGTGCAGAACATTGTTGATAATGACAGTGAAGATGTTGGTGATGATAATTATGTACAGTACCTTAACAAAAATCTTTCCACGTTCCTCAATGATGTATGGCTCATGCTCCAGATGGTCTTTGGTGGTTTGACTGATGTGAATTTGCATGCCCTAGCCGCACAGAAAGAGAGAGAGAGAGTAAAATTAGCTGTTTAATTAACTGTATTCCCTGTAAAATATCATTTAAAATCACTCATTATTTATTTCATGATAAGACAGTTTTGTATAGTTATTTAAGGCTGTTCATTTCTATATGTAAATCATGTTCTTAGATTGTGTGGCACGCATACAAATTATGAATACATCAGATGAAAGGGTTGTTTTGTTATGCATGGAATACTGTGTGAGTCCGGGTGCACCTACCAACACGGATCTGGATGTTGTCCCCGGTGGAGGGGCCTTTTAGGTGATCAATGGAGCTCAACATATCTAGAGCCATGTCACAGATGTGGTGGGCATGAAATGTGGTTTTATTGGGCACACCTGCCACCACCATGTAGGCATCCCTAATGGTCTCCACCTGAGTGAGCAAGAGCATTAGTTGGAGTTTTATTACGCACTCAATTTGAAGCGCTTTAATAATGACAATAAAGATGAAAGGTACCGTACTTAATTAGAAATTAGAAAGTTTTAGTAAAAAATAGGGATGCATAGATGTACAAATTCTGGCAGATACCACCAAGCTGATATTTTCTGGTATTTACCGAAATTATTTTTAGGCCATAGTCGATATTAAAGACTGATTTATAAAGGACAGTATAATAAATGGTTATTCATTTTGAGATTTGCCAAATATTACAAATACTTTTTTTTAAAGTTTGGGGTCAGTATGATAAAAAAAAGGAAATACATTTTTTTCATTCAGCAAGGATGCATTAAATTGATACATATAATGATACAAAAGATTTCTATTTAAAATAAATGCTGTTCTTTTGGAATTTTGAAAAAAAAAAAATGCAGAAAAAATGTATCATGGTTTCCACATGAAGCAGCACAACTGTTTTCAACATTGATATCTATAAGAAATGTTTCTTGAGCAAATCAGTAGAATGATTTCTGATGCATCGTGTGACACTGAAAACTGGAGTATGATGACTTCCATTTTTACATTTCCATTTTAAAATATATTAAAATAGAAATAGCTATTGGCAATATTAGATTATAGAATAATCTAATTTAGCGCGATAACCGATATGGTAGTGATATATATCGTGCCTCCCTTGTAAAAAAAAAAAGAGGATTGCTGTGAAGGTCTTTTATGTCGAAGAACATGTGTCAGTGGAAAGTTGCCTTTGTTGGAGTTCCTTATGTTACCTTATAAACATTGTGCTTCTCGCTGAGTGTGTCAAAAACGATGTAGATCTCGTTTAGCATGTCCACCACCTGCATGGGGCTGATGTGGATACAGATCTCATTAAACTTCACCACATCGCTGAACAGGATGGTCACGTCTGGGAACACCTGGAGGGAGATAACAGATCAAGAACAGTGCTTAATAACAGCAGGACAGCACTAGAGGAAAAAATAAAGTGCTTTTCATCGTATTTCATTAACCCTCTTGAGATTTTGATCTCAGTGGTCAGTCTATACTAAGTGAAATTCATTTCAATTGTGTGCTTAATTGTGTTTAGAAGTGTGTTTAATGGGTGGGTTTGCGTGTACCTGACATGTCTCCAGGGCTGTGATTCCCTTGCGCAGTCTGTCCGCCACTGCTTTGGGTATCATGGCATACAGCAGGGAGTCTCCTCTCTTCTTCTCCTCGTCCAGTTTTTTAATGATCTCCTGCAGCTGTGCATATTTCTGCTGCTCCTGTAGGAGGCACAGTCAGAGATCGGCCTGTCATTTCTAGATGCAATAACAACAGACTCTGTGTTTAATAATTGGCTTAATAGACTTGAGTCAGTCCTTACTGGAAATTCTGCTACATAACTCCTGCATTTTAAATAAAATGTGTCTCTTTAAGGATGGGATTTTGGGCTCGGTGGCATCAGTGTGACATTTATACCTGGTCAAGTGCCAGTTGCAGCTCTGCTGATTGCTGTGTTCCAGCCAGGATGAGCTCTCTGCTTGAGTCGTGCAGGTTTAAATCATTGACGTAAACACCCATTTTTATCATATCCTCCACTGTCTCAATACTGTACAAAGGAGAATATGTTTTAATAAAGACTACAACATATGTAACTGTGATCTTTTTATAAAAACAGCATTTTTTATGCAGTTAAACTGTTTCTACAGACAGATCTGGCAATTGTAGACTTATTACTACACATTTTAAAGGGCTCATATGGAAAACAGGATTTCAATTATATAGATTGGTACTACCCAACTTGACAGGTCGGTTCTGATCGGGACATGGACAGTAGGGGGAAAGAACCTATATAATTGTGCATAGTCAAGATAGTAAAATAAATGGGCTTAGTAACTTTAAAGTAATTTAGTAATTACTTATTTACTTTTTATTTATACTCTTATTATTTACAACATGCTTGTTTTTAAGGACATATTTGTTGCTTTTGTATGCTTAACATTTTTTGCTGCAGTGTTGGATGATGTCCAATGTAAAAACTGGATCCTGAAAAGAGAACCTGTTTAATTCTCAGAGGTCAGAGAGAATGGAAAATGGTCATTTCAAACTAAATAATGACTAAAAAATCTACGAGAATATAGGATATGGTCCCTTTGAAATGACTTGGCAGAGAACTATTGATTGTCAGTTTAATGTGGCAATAACTAAACTAATGTTTTCCATTAGCTCAGACTACAATGTTGTAAATGTGTGAGATTATGAAAGCTTACATGGGAGTTCCTAGAAAGATGAGGGAGTCCCACTGAGGGACGTACTTCATCTGGCCCTTGAGATGGAGAGGCTTTTTAGGGGGCTCCCGCATGTCTTCAAATATTGTTTCACTGCACTCACCTGAACAAGAGAGAAGTTTAATTTTTCATTGCATAGACAGAAGATTTGCATTCCTTTGGATGATCAAGACTAGAGACACTTTCTGAGGTTCCCAAAACACTTTAAATAATGATTTTAATCTCATTGACTATAGCATTTCTCAATGTTGTCTTGGATCAGAGTTATGCCACAGAAGTGTTCTTTTCTTGAATGTTTTCCAAAAGCATAAAACAATGTCTAGAAAGATGCCAGTGGAACTCATTCAGAGCATCACTTTTCTGTAATGTGTCTAACCGGTGACAGTCTGAAAAGCCAGCAGCTCGATGTCCTCTCCTCCAGAATTACGCGAGCTGCTGTACTGAGTCAGAGTGCCGCTGTATTCCTGATCTGTCCCCTTCATTTCCTCCATCACTTTAATATCTGAGAGAACAGTAAGTAAGTAAGTAAGTAAGTAAGTAAAGTTTATTTATATTGCACTTTTCACAGATAAAATCACAAAGTGCTTTACAAAGTGCAACCACAAAATAAAACAGTATACAATCAGTAAAAATTACAACATTTAAAGAGCCCAAAATAAAACCCAGTTAACTAAATGCTTGTCTAAATAACAGTGTCTTAAGATGCCTTTTAAAAGAATCGACCGAGTCGGCCACATGGAGGAACAAAGGCAAGGCGTTCCACAGTCTGGGGGCTACAACCTGAAAGGACAGGTCTCCCCGGGTTTTATAGCGAGTCTTTGGGACCATTAACAGACTCTGGCCTGAGGATCGAAGTGCACGGCCTGGGGAGTATGTGCATAACAAATCAGCAATGTATTGAGGGGCCTGACCATGTAAAGCTCTAAAAGTTAAAACTAATATTTTAAAATCAATACGCAATTTGATGGGTAGCCAGTGTAAGGAGGACAAAATGGATGTAATGTGTGTCCTCCTGCCAGATCTTGTTAGAAGCCTTGCCGCAGTATTTTGAACCATTTGAAGGCGATTTAAAGTAGATTTGTTACAAAAAGTAAAAAGAGAGTTACAGTAATCTAACCGTGAAGAAATAAAAGCATGGATAACCACTTCGGGGTCAGAGTCTGAACAGCAGAGGCACAGTCACAGAAGTCAGCATGAGACATTATCTGCTTTAATCCGTGTAGATCTGTGTAGGCTAGATGGTTAGATGCATTACATCAACCAGCTGGAGTGCACTTGATTTCCACTAGAGGGGACTCCTGCCGTCGTCTTGGCTTTCCCATCATGAACTACACTTCCCATAACCCACTGCCTGGACTCATTATTGTTTGATCACTTCTACCTGTGTGTCATCACCCTTGTTAACTCTGTCTATATAAGCCCTGTTTATTCAGTCACTCATTGCAAAGTCTTGTATCTTGTCACACTGCATTCTGTGTGTTATTTTCTGGTTTTCTGTTTCATGGTTTTGATCTTCTGCTTGTCTCCCTGGATTTGCCTGTGTCCTGCATTGTTTGCCCTGTGGTTTTGACCCTTGCCTGTTATATAGATTTTGATTCTAGATTGCCCAAATAAAGCTGCATTTGGATCCTCAACCCCTTGTGGATGTGAATGCTTACATGCTATTAATGTATCTGATTTCTGATGTCAACACCACTACGGTTCTTGTTCTGATTAGTCAGTGTGGCTTTGGCTATTATTAGGCATGGAATATGTGAGCGAAGAATTCTCTCTCTCTGTGTGTGTGTATACAGTATATATATATGTGTGTGTGTGTGTGTGAAGGACACATCTAAATAAAAATCTAGTTTAAAACACACATGCCAAGTTCTTTAGAAATGTCCTCTTTGTGCTCATGTTGGATTCATATGATTTAGAAAATCTTTTATACCATTTTCAAGAAAAGTTTAAATTGAATGGTTCTAAAAAAAAGTGAGTGTCACACTTGTAATAATTTTTTTTCATTTCATATTATTTTAAATGTTGAAAATAGTTTAACTGATTAAAATTTTGGCAAAAGCCATAATACATTTCTTCAAGATTCTGAAGAATAGAAAGTTCAAAAGAACAACATTTTTGTAAAATAGATTTTTTTTTAACTTTTGATCGATTTATTCGAATGAAGAATAAAGCATTAATTTCTTAAAAATATCTATTTCTTGCTGACCTTTGCTTGAGTGAATTATGTCACTGACTCCTATTATTTTTATTTAACGTGAAAATTTTTGTTACACATTTGACCCTAATATAATCTATTCTGCAGAATTCCACAGATTTTACCTCACAGTGAGTGTAAAAATGCTTTAACCAAAACAGAATAAGCACTGTACCTCGCTCTTCTTTTTTAGGTTTTTCACTCTCCTCTTTCTCCTCTGGTTCTTCTTTGTTGAGTTTAGGGATGTTGACCTTCTGTTTGCTCTCCACCACAGCCTTAGACAGCAGTTCAAACACATTGTTGAGGTGGGTGTAGATCTGAAAGAGCACACACCAACAAAGCACCTTTTCAGGACACAAATGCCAAGAGCATGAAAAGAAAGCATAAACATTTTTTTTTTTTAAACGCCTCATCTCTAAGTTGTTGGTTGTTACTTTTATAGTGCTTTGGTTCTATTCTCCAAACCTCCAGTTCACTCACATTATCCCAGCTGAATTCCAGCATGGTAACAACGCACCAGGGTAAACTCCTCATCGACCTTTTTACCCTGCAGATCAGAAAACACCTGCAGATCCGATACATGGTCATGTCCCTGCGGAATATTACGCTGAAGGGGAACATGTCAAAAAAGATTCCTCTCTTCATGGGCAGTTTCTCATAGCCTGGAGCTGTTTTCTGCTGGGGCATGCGGTGCTTAAACGCAGCGTTGTCAAAATTCATCTTGTACACCTTCAGAGAGAGAGTGAGAAGATCAAAAATGTAATAAAGAAATAAAGAATAACAGAGCTGGGTTTGTGTATACAGAGGAAGGGAAATGTCTCGTCTGTTTGGACTCTAACCACATATGTCATTTTCTCTGTTTCCTCTTTGGACAGAATCTCCACCTCAATGTCTGTGTTGTAAAACTGTCGACCCACCTGAGACAGCTGCCCTACAGAGGACCCACAACAGACTTAAAAAAAAAAAAAACTTAAACAGCCTGAGGCTACAAACACTTTGGCTGACCAGCTTTTATTGTGTAAGATCTAGTCAAACATTATTTTACCACATCTCAATGATCTGAACTTTACTTTGAGATCATTATTTTAATAATAATGTTGCATATCTCTCAGGAATTTTAATATGCAGTTTAATATGCAGCAAAGCACACATGCAGAGGTCACCATTATGCTCATCCTGTTAATATGGTAACTGTTCATTCAGTAAATGATGTATAAAGCAGATTTATTAACCAAATGTAAGGAGGCTCTTTTGTGGAGGGAAACAATTTGTCTCAGATGTACAGTTTTTGGATGTAAATTATATTAGTTGTAACTTGGTGTAATCAGACGAAAATCTTAAGACTTGGCCTGTACTTTTTATTGTTGTTAAAAGTTCATTCTGGGCCTTGACTTTGCATTACTGGTGACTCTTTCTTCAGGATACATTGTTACGCCAGTAGGTGGCAACAGGCTACTGTTTGAATGACTCAAGTGACTCATTGAATCATTCAATAAATCAATTTGTTCTGATTCATTTAGGAATGAAACAAGCAACTTAGGCTGCGTTTACACTTGGCATTAACATGCGATCACCGTGATCCGATCTAGCAGAGTATCATCATTTGTATCATCTTTACTCTAGATTAAGAGTAAAGATTATACAAATGAAACAATGTCCCAATTGCTTTTACTCACTCACTTTACTTTCCAATGCAATCTCCAGTCTTAGATCAAATTTAGTTTTTTGAACGAAGCAATACTTCCAGAGATGATCATAAAAAAATAACTGGGTTGATCATGTTAAAGAAGTCACATCATCGATCATCGGGGTTTAAGGTTATAGCGTGCAATAACTATATTGACAGAAATGTGAGATTAATAAACGTGCTGAAACAATAAAAACATTCAACATTTAAAACATTAAAAAATAAAAAGTATTCCAATTATTCCTCTGGCAAAGCAGTGTGCAGCTCTTCATTAAGATCTCATGACTGACTGTGATTGTACAGGTGATCGCCTCGTTCAGATAATGTTGTACAATTAAAATGAAAAATGACACACACACAGTATCATGTGAGTCTAAATAAACTGTTTTAAAGGTTGACGTTTATTGTATAAGGTTCAAATAAGTTTAATTTCTTGTCTAAACTGCGTCTGGCCATTATTTTCTGACAGCCACGAGGGGAGACTGGGCGGGGATTTATATGACGTCGCCCTCTGATTGTAGATACGATAGCTGGATTAGGTTTACATTACACTGAGATCCGATCAGAAACGCGTTTACACTTGTCTTTTCAATGTGTATGTGGACAACATCCTGATACAGGTCGGATGTTAATGCCAAGTGTAAACGCAGCCTTATATGTGAATCATATGATATAATCATTCATCCACTCGATTCGGTCAGGAGCGAAACATCACTTTCGGTTGCTCTGAGATGCCCAATATTTAATTCTGCTTTGGCTTTTTTTAATGAAGTAACTACCAATACTATGTCTGAATGTATGTTGTTGATTTGTTGTTTATTGAACTGTTGTTTAAAATCAATGTTCAACTTGCAGTCGTGCTGCTGGTCTGAATATAATATACTCTCTACACTTACAGTAGCACTATTACCTTTTACAAACTGTGTGAATCCTTTCCTTGTTGAACGGTAGTGCAGGGTAAGACTGGTCTCACATTCTTCCTCTACACAGAAACTAGGAGGCTGGACTTTTGGGAAGGAGAAACGGAAGTACTCATGTAGGTTATCCAGCTCATTGATGAAATCTCGTACATTGCGCCCCAGTACCTGAGACAAAGACATTAAAAGAGATTTAAAAGTTATGTAAAATGTGTACAATTATACAATTGTCCATTGAAAAAAGCCCAATAAAGAAAAATAGAAGAAAAATGTCATGTAAGTTTGTAAGTTTGAGGTTGGTAAGATGTTTTTTTTTTTTTTTTTTTACGATATTGCAATAAATCATAATTCTTTTTAAATATAGGCAGTTTAAATAAACTATAAGACAGTTTATTTAAAAAAAACAATTAAAGAGTAGCCTATATTTAAAATAGTTTTATTAAACTATTAAAACCTCTTATGCTCATCAAAGCTGCATTTATTTAATCAAAAATACTCATTAAAAATGTGAAATATCATTAAAATTTGAAATGACTCTTTTCTATTTTAATATATTGTAAAATGTAATTTATTCTTGTGATGGTAAAGCCGAATTTTCAGCATTATTACTCAATGTTGAAAACAGTTGTGCCGCTTAATATTTTTGTGGAAACTATGATACATTTTTTTTCCAGGATTCTTTGAAGAATAGAAAGTTAAAAGCACATTTGCTTTTTTGCAAAAGCACATTTTACAAAAAAACATTTGATTTTAAATAACATTTTTGTATAAATGTAAAAGTCTTTTCTTTCACAATTGACCAATTAAAAAAAAAAATCGGTAACTCTTTATTGTGATGGTCCTTCAAAAGATATTCCACTGACTATAAGTAACTTTGCAACTACATGTTAACTTATTTTAACCCTAACCCTACCAGTCTACTAATACTCAACTAACACCCTAATGAGAGTTAGTAGACATGTAGGTGCAACATTACTTATAGTCAACAGAATGTGTTAAAGGGACATAAAAAAAAATTTGAAACCAAAAAATCTTACTGACCCAAAACTTTTGAATGATAGTATATGTTTGTCTAAATGAGTACCTGTCACATACAGAGTCTACTGTGCTTGAAAATCACCTTTAAGATCCTCTCATAGCCATAGTTTCCTATCCGCTTGACCATGTAGACACCGAAAGCGTACATCAGCTCATCGTGAGTTTTTCCTAAAACCTCACCAGCTGCCTTTGCCAATCTTAGGATCAGATTATCGCTGGAATAATAAACACAAGCATTGTTAAATTAGCCAGATGCAAACTATGACACTTAATTAATCAGATATGTGACTCTACACTTTCAGGACTTACTTGTACATCTGGTGGCGAACAAATTTGAGGTGCGGGATCTCCGCTCTGGCCTCGATTAGCCTCCATACGTCCTCTCCATATGATTCATTTATGTAGTCATTCACCGCTTCCAAATACAGGCCATACATCTTCAGGGGGTTTGGAACCTCCAGTTTGCTGCTAAAAATATGATCAGTCTGCAGAGAGCTCAACCTGGATCAGAGATGCGTCATGGACATCAAGAGGCTTTTAGTCCAGCTTTTAGTTAGGCTTTTGGAAAAAAATCAATGAGATGCAAACAAGCAGAGATTTCTAGGACTCGAAGAAGTCCTATAAAAAGTCCTTTATACAAATAGATGTTCACTAAATATTATATTGTTGCTGAGAGTTTTGTGTAATCTATGAGAGTCTGAGAGCCCCTGTGTTTATTCATGCTTTTTTTTGTCTGCATGTGTAAAATGCTACTTTGTTTGATCGATGGGTTGTGCTGTTATAAAATCTCCACTGTGATGGAGGCTATAGCCTACAACATCCTCTATAACATCTTTATTATATTCACATTAGAATTGTAACAAATAACACAATATATACCACTAATGACCACTAAATTTGATAGATCTAATAGATCATGATAGAAAAGTAAGAGTAATGTGGCTTACCTGCAGACCTCAGTCCTGTGTAATGTGTAGAGGAGTCTGAATTTGGATAAAGCTACCCCCCCCCTCCCCCCTCCCCTCTCACTATCTTTATCTTTTAACACCTGTTTTTGGCATCTGAAGCACTTCATACTCATTTCTGTGAGTAACAATGGCAGTAACAATGGACTAAAACAAGAGAGTATGGGGTATGTTTGTGGCAGGTGCTAAACAACATGCTATTATAAATAACCCTAAAGTTTTGCCATTTTTACGTGTGAAATTAGATATTTTTAGTCTCTTAATAAACCGGCTTTCAAACAAATTACACACACGCTTGTTTTTCTATTATGAATGACTTGCTATTGACTTCTATTGTTTGTACTGAGCTAATCATCAGCTATCAGCTAACCATTGTAAAAACCTATAGAGGTTCCTTATGACACGATTTATTATTCTTATTTTGCTATTTAGCAGCTTGTTTATGACTTGTTTAATAGAGCTTTAAAAGAAAAACTGATTATCCTTGTATAACTATATTATAGTTATGGCGGATAAATTAAGTGAATAAATTGTTCCATTGTTCATTCCCGGATTTTAACTAACTTTAAAGTAAATAAAAGATTTCATTAAAAACTTACAAATTATTAACCCTTCTCTCTTCAAAAGACGACTGTCTCTTTGTATAGTACTCTCAGTATCCGCTAGGGGCCACTGTTGACACAGCGTCGGCCGTTGCCCTTTACTTTCAAACGACTTATTGTCATTGCTTTGCAACAAAAATAAATGGCTAATATGTACTATATGTCACACGCACATGTAGACACACACACACACACACACCATGGTGTGCGGTGGTGTTTTAAAATGAGGAGGAAAAGGCTTTTTTGTGTAAATTTATGTCCCTGTTACACTTATATTTCCTGGTTAAATAAACATTTGCCTACATTAAAAAAAAAGAACAAATACAATTCTATTTTGTATTTTTACAGCCTATGTAATGTTCCATTTATTCAAGTTAGTGGTTTTACGCATGTTTAGATTTATTCCAAAATATCTAAAGGCAGTAACAATTTAAACAATATTATTTGTGAACTTATGTTCAGCTTTTTTTTTTAATGGTCAACTTATTTTGCAGTCATCAAGTTTGGACCAACTAAAACATTTTAGTTGAATGAACTGTAAAACTAGTTGAGCAAACATACTTTTTTAATTTGGAGTCAAGTGGGCCAACTAAAAAATAATAATTGAAGCAACACTTTGAAGAGAGAAATTGAGTGAACATAAAAATTCTGTGGAACTAGTTACTAAATAATAATTAGTTGAGACAACTTTACATTTTTTACAGTGTGGTCACAGACACACGATGTAGTAACGTTATAGCCTTTAATTTTCCCAAGCTGATTGATCAATAAACCCCCCCAGTCATCATGCTTTCAGGCCATTTCAAGTTTGACTTTGACGTGACATAAAGCGGTGATATCTAAATGGATGAGTTGTTTACTTACTTTTTAATTATGCTCTCATTAACGCCTTCATTGTCTTCATTCAGGCCGACTCACGCGCACGAAAACAAGAGGCGGGATTTATCGTAGCCACGAACCAATCATATTTAGTCATAACCGATCATATCCAATCTTTGCGCGATGGAGATATACTGTAGAACTGAGCGCTTGACAGAGTGCAATTAGTGGTGTGTGGGGAATGGACATAAGAAGCGTGAATTGTGTTCCTGTAGTTTCATCACAAGCCAATAATTAGAATCTCTTGTTTCCAGTCACCCAAGAAAAACCTCTCAGCATATCAGCCTCTATATCTCACATAGTCTCTCTGTAGTCTATTAAAAAAGGGGGTCATATCCATAAAGTCCACAAGTCAGGTCTCTCATTCTTGTTTATTTACTGTACTTCTTTATGCATGAGTGTACAGTAGGCTATCCAGGACACAATGCCTGTGATAAACATGACTGAGATCAGAGGGGTATTGCACAAAAGTAGAATTAAGAAAGCCAGGATAACAGGCCAGTCCCGGCTTGACCTAGTTTAATCAGTGCATCCTGGCTTAATCCGTTGCACGTTTGCTGAGCCAGGATGAGAACGCGCGGATATGTCAAGCCAGGTGTATATAGTTTGGATAAATGCGCGTTCACGGCATTCTTTAAAACATCACGAAACCGATCACAGAATCACCGATCCGAAAATGGACAAAACGCGTGCGGCATACTTTTCGCCTAATGAGCAACAGCTTCTTATGGAAACGTATGAAGAAGTGAAACATATAATATGTAAAAAAGGCAATACAGCTGCTGTAATAAAATAAAGAGAGAATGCCATAGGTGTCATTTACACTGGGGACGCTGGGGACATGTCCCCACCACTTTGTGAAATGGCTGATTTTGTCCCCACCACTTTTTGAAAGCATTTGGTTAAAATGTTCTGAAAAATCAAGCGAACCAAGAAATGTTAAAGGTTTATTTGCACAAAATAAAACAGGTAATGCAGTTTAGATACAGAAAGAAACAATTCACATTGTCCAAAAAAGTAACTTAAACAAAATAAACTATTACTGATTCTAAAATGACCCAAAAACATGCATGCGCCGATCAGTAAAGCCTGGTTCACACGGCAGGATAATTAGGCCGATTTTAGCCCCGATTTACCCCTTCCGACAATCTTAAGGATGCTCCGATTATTGTAAAATAATCTGATTAGATATTCCTGCCGTGTGTGGTGTGTTAAGACTCCTCTCGTCTGCTCGGAAGGACGCCGGGACCGCTCAGATCTCTAATCGGGGATATCCAACACGTTGGATTTTTTTGGCCCCATTTCTCCTCGTGTGTGGTGTCCCCCGGGGACAAATGAGCACGCAGCCTGTGGAGGCTACTTGTCCGGTTGGGCAAGTAAAATTCTCTTTTACTTGTCCCTTCAAAAAATCCAGTTGTCCCGGACAAGCGGACAAGCATTAATGTCGAGCCCTGTAGTATGGTGCAGGGACAGTTACATGTGCAGTCGACATTGTTGAGGGTTTTAAAGGATAATTCCGGTATTTAACACTTTGAGTCTATTTTCTAGTTTGTTTTGGATGAACTAGAGTGGTGGACTTAGAAATTTTGACGATGGGTCCTGTCTCGACTTTTTTAATATTTTAGAATCGCCTCTGAGCGCTTCAGAGTGGCTGTCTATGGGCATGCTCAAACATGTCCTTAAAACAACCCTTAACGTTCGTTTTCAAAACTGTGCAACTCACCAAGTGGTTAGTGGTGTTCGTTGATGTTCCAAAACAAGTAGCGTAGCGAAATACAGTTTCTGTCGAGTTTTATTTGCCATTTTTTAAATCGCATTGATGTCTGCTGGAGGACTCAGTGCTCGTTGATATTACTGCGCTACCGGAAACGGAAAGGGGTCTGTTTACATTTGGTTGTAGTCTTTTCGCTCGGTTCTCCGTCTCTCAGAAGGCTAGCGTGAGCTGAGCGAGCTGAGCAACTGCGGCAAAGTGGTTGTCGCCATCAAGTGGTCGGGAGTGTGCTAACGCTTCAGACTCAAATATCGAGCAGAAGTTTATACGCGGTTGTGAGGTATCTGAAAAAATAGTTCCAGTATAGCAAATAACACGGATTGAAAGCATACATTGCGCCGATATATTTGTTTTTAATCATCAACGAACACCACTAACCACTCGGTGAGTTGCACAGTTTTGAAAACGAACGTTAAGGGTTGTTTTAAGGACATGTTTGAGCATGCCCATAGACATCCACTCTGAAGCGCTCAGAGGCGATTCTAAAATATTAAAAAAGTCGAGACAGGACCCATCGTCAAAATTTCTAAGTCCACCACTCTAGTTCATCCAAAACAAACTAAAAAATAGACTCAAAGTGTTAAATACCGGAATTATCCTTTAAGGCCTGTTCTCACCGGGACCGACGTTTAACGCCTCGTGACTAAACAAAGGGCGCCAATGTGAGTGTGCACACCGACACGAAAAACGCCACGCGTAAAAGCGTCATTTTTAAAAAAACGCCTCTGGTTTGTTTTTTTAGTTTGACGCGCCGCGTCAAAAACTATCCGACCAATGAGATTGGCGCTTTTGCTCACGTGTCTGGAGCTTCTGAAGTTACAGTAAAACACAACTTGGGGGCGCTCAAAGACAAAACGGTCTTGCCGAGCACACATACGTAACGGCACAGAAGATATACGCCAAGTAGCATCTACACAGCCGGGAAGAAATAAGACGAGGAAGATGCGAGGCAAGATGAATGTAGAGCCGCTGGTCTCGTTGGTGTCGGAACAGAAAGAACTATATGACAAACGCGACAGCGACTACAAAAATCTTGATAAAAGAGAATGTTATGGAGTGGTATTGCAGAGCAAATGGGCGCCATCTAATGTCAGGGAATAAATTTGCATGTTCACTCGGCTCATCGTCAGCGAAAATCGCTTGGGTTTGAACACAAAAAACGCGTTGAAAAACGCTGGCGAATAACGCGCGCCGATATTGTTGTTTTTTTATATTGTTGTATGTTTTTTTCATCTGATCTTTTGTCCCCACCACTTTTCAACACAAACTGACGCCCCTGCA